TAGTAATAGTCGTCGTCGGGGTGATGGTGGTGCTGGTGGTCGCAGTGGCGGTGGCGGTGGCTGGGTGGCGTGGCCGGGGGGCGGGGTGGGGGGTTTAGCGATGATGATGATGATGATGAAGCTGATGATGACGCTGACGATGACTATGACGATGATGATGACGATGATGATGATGGTGATGATGATGGTGATGAGGTTATAATTGTGCTGGTACTGCTGGCGATGACTGCGACAGTGATGGTGGTATTTTCAGAATCGCGAGCGACCATGGCCACAATGGAGAGGCGGAGGGGACAGTAAGGATAAAATGATAAGGATTATGGAAAATTCAAGGACCGTGAAGATAAAAGTAACTGTCAATCTGCTTTCCGCCGAGCGACAGAGCAGGCTGACCAACAAAACATCAACAGCTGCAGGTTGTGCACCGGGCGTTGTTAGCACCACAATAGCCGCAAGAAGCGCTGCCACCTCGGACGGGTGGCTGATTGACGGACTAACGGGTGGAAGGATAGTTCTTCAACTGCAGCAACAAGATTATTGGTTGAGTACCTAGGAGTTCGGAAGCACAATCAACAACTCAAAAACAAGGTGGTCAAATGTAGGACGACCGGAAACAGCAACCAAAACCTCGAAAACTCATGAACACAAGAGACAGTTCTAGTGACAATCAAAGCAGAAACGAGAATCCTGACACCTGAAACTTAAATCCCTAACCACAAAGTTTATTTGATTTTTCTTTGCAGTATGTACGTGACATGTCATCATCTGACCGGTTCGTCTCATTCGACAGCTGCCTTTTCCTGTTTCATCTTACCGTCCGAGATATTTACCAGAAGTCTCCCGTGATCGGCGGATTACTCATTATTGCTTCTAAGATGTATCGCGGTCTCGCGACGGTTTCCGCTGCTCTTCATCATTAGACGTTAAGGCTCACTGTCAAGCGATGTCTAAAGACTTCGTGTGACTTCTCCAGTTCGCTTCCGATGCTGCAGGTTCCCCCCAGCTCTTACCAATGTCCATCACTCCAGTAGACGCCGGCAAGGACCCGAAACCTTAAAAAGAAGTTGCAAATTCCAGGAAGCCAAATCCCTAAACGGTGTCGATAAGCCCGCACAAAAGCAGAAACTCCGGGCAGCCCTAAACTAAAGTTAGGGGTTTTGGGCACAAAGGAAAACCAAACACCAAAGCTCCAGACCTGACGGTTTCCTGGAAACCCAAAGCCCAAAACCCCAATAGGACATGATGGGCAATGTCCTTAAACTATGAAGCCGAAAACCCAAAAGGAGTGCGCGTTCGGGCAAACCCGAGACCCTTTAGAGGGTGACGGCTTGCCAGAAACCTCTACCCTCATAGGAATTGATGGGTGGCGAAGACTCTAAAACCTGAAAAGGAGTTAAAGCTCCCGGCATTCATTTTCCAGGAAGACTCATCGCAACGACAGCAGCAGCAACAACGAACAGTTCTTCATCGGGAGCGAAAATCTAAACCCTAAAACTAATGTGTGTTCGGCAACACAACAAACCCATGAAGCTCAACAGTGTCACGGAATCCCAAACACACAAAACCATGGGAGCGGCAAAGAGCTTGAATCTTGCATGCAAACCCCAAACCCCTAAGCCTTAACCCCTAAGCCCTAAAAGGCTGACAGTGCCCCAAGTGCTAAACCGCTAAACCCTCGTAGGAAATGATGGGTGGCAAAGACCCCTAGCCTGAAAAGCAATGGAGAAGTTCGCAAAATGCATGGGTGCTCGGCACAATCCCAAACAAACCTCTACAGCTCCAAAATGTGACGGATTATCTGGAACCCCAAACGCGAAAAGGACATGATCAAGGCAAACAACGAAAAACCCTAAAACGCAAACCCGCTTAGGAGTGCATGCTCGGCCAAACCCCAAGCCTCCAAGCCTTAACTTAAAGCTGCGATGCCTTCCTCGGCACCCCAAACTCCACAAACCTGAAACAAGTGCCTAGTAGTAGGGGTGGCAGTCGTCGTCGCCGTCGTAGTATTAG